AATTATTATCTACTATAAGAATATAATTAGTACTAGATGGAAAAACGTATTTATAGTCATATTAGTATCTCTAAAAAGAATGTAATGTACGAAAAAAAAATCGACTATTAATCTCATTAATTGAAATGACTTTCCTCATATCAATATATATATTTATAAAATTCATACATTACTAGGAAAATTATCATATTAATATTTTCATGTTAAACATGGACCTAATGTAAACAAACGAAAGAACTACTTATAAAATTACATGGTTATTTTGATAATCTTAATAACCTTCGCAACCCTGTGTGTTAATCACAGTAAGCTTATTTTATAGTAAGACTACAGTAAGGATTAGTTGCATAGTAGCAGTTATGAGCTTTTCGCACATTAAAAAAAAAGTATCTGTCATCTGCAGCAAGAGGCTAAATATGAAAATATTGAGAAATGAAGTGAAGAAAATGGAAAAATTATCAACGATCTAAATATGATGAGTAATGCCTTAATAAACATCTTTGATATGCGTAAAACTTGGATTTGCAACCAATTCTTGATCTTATCACAAAATATAAGGTTCCTGAAGTATGATATGAATCGAAAGATAATTCAATAAAATCAATTTCAAGTCCTCTTATAAATAATTCTCTGTGTAATACCGTATAAGTAAAACATCCAACTCTTCAAGTTTTTCTCCATTATTTGGAGAGACAGTTAAAAGTTATAGATTATTTTTCACTGCTACATTGTTACTTAGACTTATAACCGTTGCATGCTTCATAATCTCTAGAAACTACTACCCATAAGAAATTTCGAGATTTAGGCTTAGTAAAAGAAGTCAAAATTTAGGCTTAGTAAAAGAAGCCAAAATTTAGGCTTAATAAAAGGGGAACCTTTCCTAACTTTTTTTTGATTTAAATACACAATATAAATGCTATTTTTCTAAATTCAATACTACTTTCTGAGAAACAAAGTATATCATAACCATTTTTTAAATTTTGATTAAAATGTAGAACTGAAGTTACGTGTGAACATTAGTTAAAAATAATTACGAACCTATTCTACTGTCAAAAATTTAATTCTTTGAAGATTTTCGTAAACAAAAACATTCTGTAACAGAAATCAGTATATATGTTTTACGACAACTCGTTCTGATAGATGTGATCCAAATTCTATGTCAAAAACACTCCCAATTCAGTTTTAGGTACATTTTGTTTTACAATTCAAACCAGTAAGACTTCATTTACTAAATACGTTAGCCTTAAAATCATTTTATTAGACTTTAACCTTTTATGTAGAAATTCTGGGAAGTTATGGCATTCTTTTATTCTTATATATGGAATCCTGCAAATTTAATTAGTAAAATATTCAAAAATAATTTATTTATTAATCAATGCAAAACGGTTACATTTTTATTTTGTAAAGATATTTCATCAATTTTCTAGATCGATTATAAGTTATATATACATATTTATAATGTTGTTATAGCAACGAAGCTTCCCATTGGTGCTCGTTACTTTAATAATATTCTCTTATTTACGTTTTCGTAACCCTAACTTGATTATATGGGTAAGAATAATAAGATAACAGTTCGAAACGGCAAAAATACGAGCTAAGACAAAATGATATATTTCAAATTTTGAGACACCTACGTATTTAATAAATTTGAAGTCTCAAACTGATAAGAGGAAATTAAAAATTAATTTAATTAAATGTTAAGTTCTTTTCATAAGGTGTTATGCTAATATTTCACCCCCCCCCCCACAAAAAATTGTAAGTAAAAAGTAATAATTGTTCAGAACTTAAAACTCTATTCGTTTTTACGTTATCAATATAATGGAAAAAATGGTCCAATTCCAAGATTGAAACAGTCTTCAATCCAGGATAATAAAAAACCAAACCTTGTTATAGTCCTTGTAACACTCATTGTTCTTGTCACAGTTTATACGCGTTATACTACGCTTCAAATACGCTTTCCAATAACAAAGTCATTAATTCAATATTACAACATCTCTCTTGGTTCACTTGTCTTCTTTCAATCACGTGAAACCTAATTAAGAAAGAAAACGTAGCCTTTCATCAAAGTCGGTTAATTGTCTCCTACATAAACTCTACATTTTATGAAAGCTTTAATAATTTAATCACGAAGTTTTTACACGAAGTTAATTCTTAGGATATTTAAAAACAAAACTCTTTAAAACATTATAGTTCGTCAAAAACAAAGTGTTGTTTTGAGCTATTTCGACTGAGTGATCATTTTTATAAATTTTTACCAAACAATTCTAACTTCATAAATAAATTCCCGAATATCGCTTATTGAATTAATTACATTTTTTAATTTCTATTCATATCGAACATGGCCAGGTGGATAAGGCGCTCGACTCGAAATCTGAGGGTCGCGGGTTCGAATCCCCGTCACACCAAACATGCTCGCCCTTTCAGCCGTGGGGGCGTTATAATGTGACGTTCAATCCCACTATTCGTTGGTAAAAAGAGTAGTCCAAGAGTTGGCGGTGGGTGGTGATGACTAGTTACCTTCCCTCTAGTCTTACACTGCTAAATTAGGGACGGCTAGCGCAGATAGCCCTCGTGTAGCTTTGCGCGAAATTCAAATACAAACAAACAAACAATCATATCGAACAACTTGAAAAATATTCAACCACAATTATTTTCTCGTTAGAAGAAACCCAGATCTGTCGTTGATTAGAAATTCAAAAATTAAGTACAGAAAAAAATGTTTTTTTTCTTTTTATTAACCGCATTTCTTATGCCCCTGTCATCAGCCTTGATTATTCCACTTTACAACTCATACACAGAAAAGCCGCTTGATCAATCATAGATTGATTACTTAGCTCAGGGTCGATACTAGTAGGGTGGACTGTGCACCCCAAATTTCACTCTGGCCCACCCAAGTTTATCCTACTTAGTGGTTTAATAATCATATTATCAATTTTTCTAAAAACTGTATGATTTTTTAAAATCGTTAAGAAAGCTGAATTATCTTTCCTTTAAATCTACACTACTATTTGGTGATCACCCCAAAAACTTTAACTGCTCCCCCCCCCCCCCGGCAGTAATTGCTAAAAATTCATCTTTATAACCTTATTAATGGTTTCTTATTATTATTGTTATATGACCTTATACTTTTGATTTTAATTTGAAATCATGTCAAAGGCTAGGTCTATCGCCCGGTTAATATTATCACGAATAGGGCTTACGTTAGGCCTATTTTTCCATCATGTTCATAAAATTGAGTTTCAATAATTGTAAGTCACTTCTCATTTTAGACAAACGACTTTAGTATTGTGACTAATAACTACTAAGGAGAATTAGCTGAAAGTTAAAAAAACTAATAAACTGATTATTAATAATCACATGTTAGGCTTACCTTATTAGTAATCACCAGATGGTAATCACATGTTAGGCTTACCTTATTAGTAATCACCAGATGGTAATCACATGTTAGGCTTACCTTATTAGTAATCACCAGATGGTAATCACATGTTAGGCTTACCTCTCCCATTTTGTTCTTTGCGTATTCAATTCGTATTCCTCCGCGATCTGACGAAAATAAAACGTAGCCTTGGAAAGCGTTCAAAGCATGTGTTGCTAGACGTACATCCTAGAAGGAAGAACAAGAACTCACCAGATCGGTTTGGAAAGTAACACACAGAATTTTCAATCAAAACACTATTTGTATCAGTCACTTACATACCAATCACTTAAATATCACTGTAATGTTACACGATTTATCGGTCAATAGATAACAACATATGCGTTATTTCATTCCAATCCCGGGGGGGGGGGGGGAGGCAAGTCAGCACAGGAAGTGGAAATACGGTATGTGCAAACAGAGGAGAAATATGGATGAACACTGATCAGTCTATATTACATAATGGAGATAGTGTGGGAACTGTCAACGGGTATTGGGAATCGGAATAGATAAATGGGGGAAAAGGGGACATCGGCATCTCGACGTGATCGGGATTGTCAATTAGCTTCACACTCGCTATGTTAATAAATGTTTTCGTGATCACAATCTCATCTTCTTCGATGTTCTCGCCACCACTGCACCCACTCCAAGAAGCATTTTGGCACCAGCTGATCACCTACTCAACCTCTATGTTATGTCCCTCCCATCGAAGGTGTAATAGAATGTGAGGAAAGTCGATACGGCGATAAAGTTCGGAAGTGGAACTAGGGAGTTTGACACCAAAAGCAAGCCGGAGGGCATGGCGCTCCAAAATCTAGAGACGAGAGTAGAAGGCCAAAGAAGCGGATATCCAGACTGTATGTCCATAGGTTAAGTAGAAGGCCAAAGAAGCGGATATCCAGGCTGTATGTCCATAGGTTAAGTAGAAGGCCAAAGAAGCGGATATCCAGGCTGTATGTCCATAGGTTAAGTAGAAGGCCAAAGAAGCAGATATCCAGACTGTATGTCCATAGGTTAAGCAGGGTCTGATAACTGTGTTGTATGTGTATAGCAGAAGAGGAGGGTTCAGGCCCCAGAAGGTACCGGTGAGAGAACGGAGGAGATAACGACGACGAGAAACCTTAACAGAAAGGATTGATAAGTGTGGCTTCCAAGTAAGATGCCTATCAAAGACAATGCCTAGATAGGTCATGGAGTCGGAAAGGAGGATCGGGACATTGTCGACCCGGAACTCAAACAGAGATGGGTCGCAGCAAGGGCGAAACTTTCGATGTGATGGATCAAAAACA